AACCATGGAAATTTCGAAAGCACGATAAAAATTAAGTGAGCAGCGCAGATTCTGTTCATGCTAGTCGAAATCTGTAGTGATCGAATGTTCTTGGACTGAAATTGTCCATGTTGGGAGTGGGTTACTCGGTGGTGATGTCCTAATTGCGTGGTTGTGGGTTTTTGCCCTTTACTTAAAAGGTTTCCTGAATAGTTTCAAGTGTAAGACGCCAATACCTTCGAATTGGAATAAGAGGATGTCTGATGGCAGTTTAAGCGTGCTGGTGGTGAGTGGGGGTGGGTGGGACTGGGTTTGCGCGAGACTAAGAATGCTCGTGTGGATGTAGATAAACTCTTACATACACCTGCATGTTCACCGAACAACTGACCCTGCTCTTGAACAGATCTTAGAAACATGTTTGAAACAGCTTTTAAAGTCCCTGGCAGTCTGAGAAAGATGTGTCAAATACTTCCAAACATCTTTCCAACATCGTTTTAACAGTTGAAAGATGTTTGAAGGTCGTTGAAAGATCTTTCAAAGTCTTCGAAAGAGTTTTGAATGATGTCTGAAAGTCATTTGAAGATCTTTCAAAGCATTTGAAAGTCTTGGACAGATCTTTGAAAGATCGGATGTGGGCATTGCCAACGGAACGGAAAGAGGTACGGTATAATCAGGATCCTGAGATCGGGAGGAAACACTGGAACCCGATTTTGTAAACGTGCGGGAAATAACTGCCGGATCCGAGGATCGCACCTGGATGCAGGAACGAGCGGGAACTAAGCAGGATAAGGAAGCCGGATCTGATTTTGGATTACTGCTTCGAGGAATTGGCCGGAATTTTATGAGATGCAGCGGTTTCCAGCCGTACATTTCTGACTTGGGAGAAAGTCATTTTACGAACGCTCCGAAGAATATCTGCCTAATTCCAGTTCGAATATGGATGAAAATTTCGAATAAAGCTACTGACACCATGAACGCAGAAAAGCAGAAAAAAAATATTTGAATTATAAATTATAATTCGACTTCGAGTTCGACTACTTTTTAGTTTTAAACTATTAGTCCAAGCGACTCTGGGATCATTTATCAATATCATGCATAACAGAACGAAAAAATAAGTAATAGTTGAATGTAGGTCTGGATCTGGGTGTGAATGAAGAGAAGAATCATACCCACATCCTATTCTTTCTGATGCAGACTAGCAGCATTACTTTATATTTATCGACCTTTATATTAAAGAATAAATATACATAAAATCTTTATATTTGGAAAATAAAGAAAATATAAAGATAAATGCAAGATTTTTTTCTATTAGCAAAAAAGAAACAAATACGTGCTTTAACAGCAGGATATGTCAACTAGAAGAAGTTTATAGCATGTAGACGTTCGTTCTTTTAGGAAAGCACTGTTGTTAAATACGTGACATGACAAAAAATAGAGAATTATTTTATCAATTTACTGAGCCCTTGGTTGACGGATAGTGAAAGAAACTTCTATGATATATTGGATCGATTTTTAGAATGGGTGTTCTATCTAACATGCATTTGTGATGGCATTAAAGGCGTTCAAATTTAGATTCGATGTTGCTCCTACACTTATGAAAACCGCTTTGTTGGAAATATTGCATGACACTTATGCTGGTCGAAGCTAAATTCTGTTATAATGAGTTAGAGGGAACAAAAAAATTAGCTAGTTACGGACACCTACATCTGTCAATGTCCAGTTCAACAAAAAGATTTTAAAAAAATTCGAAAACTACGATCCCATTGGAGTTTTCTTTTAGTATCCGTAAAGCATCTACAATAGTATTTTTTGAGTGAGACAAGCATCGTTTCTTTAATTTCCAAAGTAAATTCTCACAAAAAGAATATCTAAGCAAAAAGTAACAAAGTGATTTTCTTCGATATGAGCATATCGAACATTTCACTTTTTCACTTTCATCAGCTCGTGTAAAATATTCATTTCATTGTTTGTTTTTGTTTTTTTTTTCTATTTAAATTTTCAAGAATAGTGCATTCGAGCACTTGATATATGCCATTAATCATTTTGTTGATCTCCATGAAGTTCACATACACTGATAAACATTTTTTGACAGCAGCAAATCGATTGATGTTTCTATATGAGTATTGGCCTCTTTTTATATCTCACATTGGGTATATCTTGTGATAGTATTATGACATCATGGGAAACATTTTTCATCGACATATCTTTTTGAATACCAAATTAGACTTGTGGGCTAAATGCTCTTTTAGTGCTAATTCTAGATGTACTTCTTCGATTTGATACTATCTGAATTTGAGGATTGTACAACAATATATGATAGTAAGATGAAAACATTTGATGACTGACACCATAATGTGTCATATACCGTTCAAATGAGATTGGCATAACCGTTGAAGCGTACTTGATTTAGACTTCAAAGCATTTATAAAAATTTACATGATATCATGTTTAGAAAAAAAGTATAACTATTATTCAATAGTTTCTCATTGACGGACGTCCATGAACTCTTTCTTTAAGTGTTCAAATTAAGTTTTTCTCTTCTTTTCTGTTCTTGCTCTTCTATCTTAATCCTTCTTCTCTAATATGCAGTTATATACACTAATATATGAATTTAAATCTATTCATTATCTGGAAATTGTTACGCATATGAATATGATAGCGACTACAATTAGGTTGGATGAGTCTCATGGATAGAAAGGTATTTTAAGATGGGTATGGGAACAGAGAACACCCACACCCACACAAAGACACTCCAAATTTGTAAAATATCTTTGCTCCAACATATTGCGACTACTGGACGATTGTCACAGCATTCAATAATCGGGTGAATCTTATATAATTTATTACAGTAATTTTTCTGCTTTGTTAACTGAAAATGGCAGCTGTCTGTGGCTGCTTTCTATTCGGAGCAATTAATATCTAAGCTAAGGTAATTGTAGTCTTGATTAATGTCAATCTTTTGCGTATGCATACAGAAAAGTTAGATAAGGTGAGCATGAATACTATCTTGTCTAATTTTATATAAAAAAGGTAGAGAATTTTTTTCAGTTGGATATAGGTTTTTCTAGCTGTGTTTATTACATTAACTTTATATTAGTCTTAAGTGTTTTATGCATGTACTAATCCTGTGCTAAGTGGCTAATTTTGTAATTATATTTTTTGCTGCTTTCGAAGCTTTGAAGTGAATAGGTGCAGAAATATGTTTTCCAATGTAGTAAGAGTTACAAAACTATGAAGGTCTCTGTTTTAAACTCGCGTTTTATCGGCGCCTCGAAAAGAATATGTAGCATCGCGTATATTACAATTTTTCTGCCACCCATGATTATCTTAAGATAAAGGTCGCTTATAAATAATACAAAATCCAAAATACTAGTTTAATTTGATCATCATTTGCCGAATTATGGCGTAAGTCATGATAACAGATCCTATGGAGCTATATACAAAATAGCCTTTTTTAAATACCTTCTAATATAATGAAAACTCAAGTTACTACGTCACAAAGTCATATAATACTAACTTTCTTCATAGATTGATTAGAAGTGTCAACATTGTCAAGCCCATACTATAAAGCAACATTTGTTGTGAAAAATCTCTTTGTATTGTTCGTGACATACGTCTCTGCCGTTAAACAAACGAATAAATTAGATGCGCCTCTCTTTCTTATTAATAATATTATAGCAATGATACAAGAAACTTTAGTATGAGTTGGAAAAGTGTGATCAGTGCCGCAGAACAAACTGAGGATGGGTGTTATAACATTTTTCTCATATTTTGTAATCATCGGAAAACTCATTTTCCACGCGGAAACATAGGGAATTTCAAGCTCTATAGGATAGGGTCTTTATCGACAAAAAAATCATAATGTTCATTGTGCTGAAACAATCGATAAATTCAATACGTACACTTGAAACGCTCGAGCGCATGATCTTAAATAGAATCTTTTTGATATCTTTTTTATTTGATTGATTAATACTTGTCTACTAATTATATGACTCCAGCCCAAATGTAATATTCCAACCGGTTTCGATCTAGATCGTTCTCAGGCCAGGTATCTTTCGTTCCAAAAATGTAAAAGTCTTCTTCCTATAGCTGTCACATCGTTTTGTACCTGTAGGCCTGCTCATTACCTTGTTGAAGGATGGAGTCATTGCCTACTACTTTTCCATTGTCTTCCGGTGCTACAAGTAAAACTTCATTGATAAATCGTTCACTACTGATAGTCTCTTTCTCGGTGACTACTGATCGTGTCACTTCCTCTCAGAACATCCCTAGGTAAATCAAACCAACAGAAAAAAGTTGTATTTAACTCCGAATGCTACTTTCATCAACTGCTTTTTCATGCATAAAGCAGCTCAAATTTGATCATTCTATTTTTTGAAAGCATTATTGATCTGAAAACAATTCTCATCAAAAACATGGTCATTTTCGACATTGTTTTAATTCATTTTTTTTCTAACTAAATTACCAAATGATTTCTTTTGACTTTAATTCATAATTTCAGCTAACTTTCGGATTCTCTTTCACTAATATAAGTATGCAGACATCCTCTGCATTGTGGGTATAGTACAGTGTAATAATACGCTATTTGTCATTGGATAACAGCCTATGAAATTGTATTGTCTCATATAAGTAGAGTTCTCTAAACTACCGGGAGTAGTAGCTTTTTCATTTCATTGCGATTATTGTATGAGCTTCTCTTTGAATATGAATCGGCTTCAATCCTTTTTTGTGATGTTATTCTTGCCCAAGAGGAGCCCACCAGAAGATAAATTCCGAAGTAGGAGACTGTAATAGTCGATCTTTCGTTCCAGTTCGAATTAGCGATTTCTGTATTGAGAATTCCAGGGAGAACGATAATCAGAGATGATGATAGTTCGGAACTTCTTTGAATTCACCTTTACGTTTTCGATGATTTGTTTCCAATTGCCAATTATTCACGACTATGTGTCTATGTCAGCACAATACAAAACAAGTGATTTTTGATTTTTCAGCATTGATATTCATCTATAAAGCAGAAGATCATGGCAGGTCGTGCGAAGAATAGACAAGTGACGATGAACGATATTCACATTGAGATCGACAAAACAGATGTCGCGCCTCATGATGAAGAAATGAATGAAAACCGACAAGTAATGAGCAATGGTCCTGAAATCGAAAGCCATTCACCGAACGAGTTTCAAATGTTGCATTTGAACTTGAAGAAAGAAGACACACTTGATCAAAGACAAGAGGAACTAACAATGGAAGAACCTGATAAAGTACTAACTGATCCTATGACAAAAAATCATCGAGTCGTAGACATTGGTTTACAAGAAACAGAGCCGACTACTACGAAAACCGTCAATGATATTATAGCGGATCCGAGTCCTATTATAGGATATGCCGATGAGCCTTTATTACCACTCGTCGAAGCATGCGCTCCACTGACTGACATCATTGAAAATCTGTTATTCTACGTTGAATTAGCATTGAACGAAACTTCAGAGCAGCCACCAGACCATCTAACAATCGATGAGAGTGCTGCAATTCGCCTGTACACGATTGAATGGGAAGGATCGCGTAATAGTCTATATTCAAAGCTCAATCGTGCTCTCAAGTCAGTCGATCGCGAGAATCTTCGACCTTATTTCAGATATCTGAAGTTGCTTCTAACTGCCTTGGTCAAGCTACCATGTGTTCCACCAGTAACCATTTGGAGAGGAGTGACCAAAAATATGAGCGCACAATTTCCGCCCGGTACCCGAGTGACATGGTGGTCATTTTCGTCTTGCACGTGTTCATTGCCCGTACTTGAAAACAACATGTATTTGGGTAATACAGGCAACCGGACACTATATTCTGTCGAAGCTATTAATGGTAGAGCAATACAAGCACATTCACATTTCGTTAACGAAGATGAACTTCTTCTTCTGCCGGGTACTGAAATGATAGTTCAGTCGCAATTCAGCCCGGCATCCGATCTTTATATTATTCATTTGAAACAAGTGGTACCCAATGAAGTGCTACTGGACCCTCCATTCGAAGGTATTTAAAACATTATTCATCTCTTGTTTAAAATAATTAGCTTTTCTACACGTAGGTGCACTTCTTTATCCAAAAGTTGAGTAAGTTCATTCTCATTTGTATCTCACTGTATTTTTCATGAGCCTTTTGATAACATTTACAAGACGTCATTGGTATCAAGAAAAGAGATACATCATTCCGATTTGCTCATTGATTATCATGGTCATCGCCGCAATCATTATTGCATGTGTTTTAGGAACAAGATCCAATAACAACTCAACAATCCACAGCAATTCTGGTAAGTCGAATTTTGTCGAACCAATACGAAATTCGGTGTTACACAGTGATCGGATTCGTTCAATAACTCTCTGTCGTATTCTGGTTACTCATACTGTTTCGTCTTAAAATCCAGCAATCAGCTTTGCTGAATTCAGACTAGATTTACAGAGAAAAGTGGTCAGGTTCGGTGGATAAGATTTGTTTGTACTTAAGATAATCTGTGGCTATCCGCTAGCAAGAAATCATCGGAATTCGCCGTGTTAGACCACTCGTGATTCTCTAAAAAAGACTCTCAGTTACCAATATCGAAACATATCGGATTATATTCGAATTCAACTGTTCCCCTCATGGAATTTTTAACTTTTCTGACGAACAAGATTTGATCAGAATCAACTACTTGAGATTATCGGATACACATAGAAAATCTGGTAACTTATTACGCTTCTTGACCATTGATTGATCGAAGCGATCATAATTCCATGTGAAAAAATACAGTCTGATTCCGATCGAAATACACTGGAAAATTATAGGAGCTGGAAAGCAGGACTCCAGTGATAGGATCTGCTGTCGGAGTTTTTCATTTCCAGTCAAAAACGACTTCAACCAGACAACATAGCTCTTCACATCCTCTCACTGGATTCCCACCTCCAAGTTCCTATTATTTTTCTGAATTCTTTGCATGAAAGTGTTCGTACTTCTCGATATGACTATCCAGGTCAAACAATATACTGACAAGAATTCAGACCCGAATCTCATCGGATATTGTTGGAATCCAACAATAACTTTTGTAATCCTCTCAAAATTCGCGAGTATTCAGCAAAATCCTACTATCGAAATCTGATCAGTATATTTCCCAATTATTTCTGATAGAATTCAGTCGATAATAGGCTGCCCCAATCGTTCGCCTTCTTTCTGAGTGATACCGTCCCGATTGATATCTCAAACATCCCAGATGCTGTTTCTGTGATCCAAGCGTATGACTGTATTATTTCAGGTGTCGGGTATAGCATTTCAGATAATAGCTCTAGAAGTGCAGGTGATGTCTCTAACATGCTAGATACTACAGGTAGCAGTTCAGTTATGCTTATGGCACCGTTAATACTGTCATTAGCATCTAGGCCTAACACTGTAGTATCCATATGGTACACATGTATTAGAGTTACAATTAATTTTGTAGATGAGCCATGATGTATACTCATACTTCTCGTAGTCGTGTTAGACAACACTCCCGACACTACTGACGGACTATTCACATCCGGACAGCCTACATCCTATATATGTAAATGACAATCACCATCAGAGCTAGGACAAGTGCAAGTTCAGAAGGTTAAAGTATGTTACTTTTATTTTATAAAACATAATTATACTTTTACTTTCCTTTGTACAAGTCTACTTGCTTCTCTATTGGTACTTTGAAAAAAAAATACTTGGTACCTATACTTCTACTTTTGGAAAAGTACTTGGTAGTCATACAGGGTGATTCAAAATGAATCCAACATATAAGTATGAAGTACTTTTCCCTATGAACAAGTATAAATACCAAGTATTTTTTTAAAGCACCAGTATCAGTACAATTACTCATCACGTGTAGTCGGTACTTATACTTGTACCTGAAAAAGTATGAAAAGTAAAAGTAAAAATACTTTTATCCGAGTTCTGGCCATGATACAGTTCTACTCAGTTTTGCTTCGCGACTGTGATCCGAGCAAGTTGAATTAAAAATGCTTCCTTTTCTAGTTGTTGAAAGCAGATGATTTCTCATCCAGCAGAAAAGATTCTAATAGAATAAGGCAATATAAAGTCTTTTTGATAATTGTCATCTATGTTTAAGCTGAATATTCATTGACCAAAGTCTTTTGTTTTGTTTTGTTGTTGTTTAAATGACCCTCAAAAGTGTTTCTAAGGAATAGTTGAAATAATCTAATTTCTTATCCAAATCAATGAATTCTAATAGAATAATAAAGCATCGTGAGGCCTTTTCTTAATGTACACCTTTGTATTGGGTGAAAAGTTAATAATAAAAATGAACTTTTGTCAAAAAGAGGCCATTAAACCCGTATCTCTACTGCATATATTTTACTTTTCAATTCTGCATGAATCCAAGATGTAGAATCATCGATTTGGGTTTTGACAAGATCTATTAGCATTAATAGGTGCCAATTATTTTAAAATTGATTAGAATATTTCACTGTGATATACGGCTATAAACTTCAGCGCATCCTACCATATTCGACAGAATACGATCATGTTGCAGTACGCATTTCTGTGTAACCGATCGCTGTATTTGTCTGTAGCACAACAATCCGCAATACAACCATAATATCGTCTCTGTCAAACAGATGATTTAAGAATCCTTAGCGACCGTGATTGTATAGTCTAGGAGTCGATTTGCAGTCATCGAAAACATCGAGGTGAGCTATTATTCTAAAACTTCCTGTTACACCATGGAGTGACAAATTTTCGACATAATTCGAACTAGAATCCGGATTCCAGATTCTGATGAAATCCAGCATTATCCATTCTTTTTCCAAGAGAAGAATGCAAACGATTTCGATAATATCCGATTATCGGGTGGACAGGGATCGATTGATTCTTTACCGGAAAAGTCCGATTTATAGTTTCGAACTAAAACTTCGATTTCTATATTCTTTAAATTAGATCATGCTCGTCTTAAACATAGGGCAGATGACAACAAGACTATCCAGGATCATTGTTTTATTGAAAATTGTCTCAGATCTTTCGATAATCAAGTATCGAAGTGAAAAAACTATCAGGTCCGATAAGTATAAAGAAATCTTACAAAATTATTCGAACTTCAAATCATTCGAATTTTGTTAATTATTTAACAGAAAAACATGCCAATATACAGTTACATTTGGTATTTACACTCTAAGCCTAATACTGTTGTACTTTTGGATAATTTATTATATCATATACAATTCTGCTGATTGAATAGATCAAGCAGCACTAGCACTATCGGTTTCCAAGTGGGTTAAACATATTATTGAGAATATTTTCCAAAGTACTTGTAGCAACTCATTAGAAATTATTGAACTTTTCATAAGTAGTAGTTTCAGCTGTCTTGAAAATTTAATAAAATTAAATTAAAAAAATCTGCTAATTTTTATCAATTTATTTCGTATTCTCAGAACTTTTGGACCCCCTAAGTACGATTAAGAAGACATATACAGATCCACGCTACGATTCCTAATAAAAATCCTGCACATACATCTCCATAACTCCCTTCTTGCATCTATTTGAAATGTATTTATTCTACAAATCTCCTCATATAGAATCAGTAATAAACGCATCAATTCTTTTCCTTGACGATTTATGTAAGACAAAATCACACTTCACAGAATAATCTATACAAATACGCGTAAACAATCAAAATAACTCCTGAAAAAGAAAAAAAACGTCTGTATTCACTGAGAACGTACAATAAGTCTCAATACAGATATAAGTCCCGGAATGTATCTCAACACTTGCCATAACTCCAAACAAAGAAAAAAATGTCTTCATTCATTCAGAATATAGAATAAATCTCAATATGAAAATAAGTATCGGGATCTATCTAAAAACTCGAGATAAGTCCCAACAAAGAAACAAATATCTCGATTACTTGAGAAACTAGAATAAGTCTCAATACAGAAATAGGTCCAGGGATCTACCTCAACACTCGAAACATACCCTATCAAGCAAATCAATATCTGAACTCCTTGAGACACCACAATAAGTCACAATAAGCAAAAATGTACGGCTATCTATCTCTACCTTCGACATAAGTCCACAAAAGAATCAAATATCTGCAATCATTGAGAAACTGCAATAAATCTCGGTACAGAAATAGGTCCCGGTAGCTGCTACAAAGAAACTCGTTCACGAACTCTTCCAAGTCATGAATGCTACAAGGTAGTATAGTCCATAGTGAACATCAACACTTCTTCATGGTATACTAAGACAAATCTATTCTGAAACGATAGGATTGGAACAACAGGATTTTCCTAAGAGACTTATTGCCCTATGATTTGAAGAAAAATCATGAAATAAGAAAGTCTCTATTGAAATATACGCTGTTTTTAATATGCTTTAAAGCGTTTCTCAATGGATAGAGGATCACATTCTTTGATATAGTAAAAGTCCAAAGTCTTTATCTGAAGGCTTAGCACATGAATAACACAACTAAAATCTATTACCCAATCTTTCATAAGTAGATATAACTGTAAGCAACTCATCGATGATCTTCACTATCTACTGTGCTCTTCAATATCCTCTTCTTGTAGTGCCAGTGTGCGACACACCTTTTTCTGAACCAACACGCAATATAATTCATCAAAGTCCCATTTCTGGAACAGTGGGCTACTTTAACAGAGATCAACACGCGGATGTGGTAGTGGCTCAACCAGACACACAGGAAGTTCAGCTGTTGCTGGGCGACGGAAAGGGACACTTTATAACTTCACTTTCTTTTCCCACTGGTAGCAACCCATATTCTGTGACATCAGCTGATTTTGACAGTGATGGCAAGCGTGATATGGCAGTAGTCAACTCGGATGACAACGACGTCACTGTGCTTCTCGGTGATGGACATGGGAATTTTATGAATTGGGGTACCCTCAAGGTTGGTGACAAACCATACGATGTCACATCAGCTGACTTTAACAATGATAGCAAGGCGGATCTGGCAGTAGCCAACTCGAATGACAATACCGTCAGTGTGCTGGTTGGTAACGGAAATGGTACATTTCAG